TAAATGGGAAATGAAATTGGAAAGTAAGTAGAAAACGGAGAGCGAAGCTCGAATTGTCGTCGAAAAGATACACACGAGAATCATAGATACGAAAATTTTCATCGAGTTTGGAACGTGAAATGACAATGAACAATGTGTAAGGGATCGAGCAGGAAGAAGCATTTCGAAATATTAAACCACATCTGTACGCAATAATTAAATATATTTCTGAAACGAATTATATACAGAATCGAGGCTAATTGTTCGATTTCTAAAAAAGTGGAATAAATCGTACATTTTTCGTATGACGTATCTGAGCTTTCAAAATCTTATTTTTCTCACGTTTCCATGGTTTATTTATCTATAGTAACGATATTTCCTCGATATTTAGAAAAATTGTGCTCCATGGTATTTTCCATCTTCCATCTTCCAGTTAAAACAAAATCGAAATAAAAATTCTCTAAAACGTGAAGGAAGTAATTTCGACAATTGAAAAAGAAAAAAGGAATAATGGAAGAATAAAAAAGAAAAACGTTACAACGGTGAAAAATGGTAACACGAGGACCCTACAACGAGAAATGCAGCGGCAAAAAAACTAGCGCAAGGGCAGAAACATTACAAGTACACTCCCATCCTTTGTTAATTTTAAGCATTATCGATTTCGAAATAATTCGTTTCGTATCTTTTTCGTAACGATTCCATCTTTCTTTTAATTATATATCACTCTGAAAAAAATAAATACATCCAATAGTACACTATAATAAATTCTACCTCTAATTTTTTGCATCTGGTTGCAGAAATAATAATGCGTCTACGTTTTCCATCAATATTGCTCAATTTGTTTGACGAATTAAATTGTCGGAGCATAATCCTCTCAAATTATCGATCATTGTCAAGCCTTTGAACGAAAGTGTACAGCAAGAATATTCCAAAAAAAGAAGAGGAAGAAGAAGAAAAGAAATAGTGCAAGGACAGTAAAAAAAGGAAGCGACAAAAAAAAAGAAAAAGGAATTCGCCTCCTCGTTGAAATAAATCGCAGAGTGGCGCATCGCAGCGACCCCTTTAACGAAATGCATCCCCCTTTTCTCATTATTCCAACGGTGGAATTTACTAAAAATGCGAAATTCCACGTCGCCGTTCGTTTAGAAAAATTCGCGAGGGAAGAGCCACGTGTTGGAGCGCATAAATCGTCGAAATTGCGAGGATCGGTTTGATCCTTGCAAGTTCGCGGTCGGGGACGAAAGAACGCGAAATCCTCGGCCATTTAATTAAGAGGCAACCGACTACAACCATCCAGCTCCAATTTCATTATCGTGGATCCGATCAATCCTTTCGAGCCTCGTTCGTTGTTGGCGATTACGTTCTCTCTGTCTTTCGAAATTCGGTCGAAACGATTTGTCATCGAGAACGAGTCGAAACACAGATATCGATAATCCGATTTTCTCGAGGAAGGGAAGAGTTTTGGAGAAACGATTGTTCGATTTTTGCGATGTAATTTATTCGAAGGATTATTTATCCTTTTGGAATTAAGAGAATATCTAGAAAAAGGTTCAAATCTTTTTCTCCGAGTCTTCACTTCGTGTTCAAAGTTCTTTACTTTCATTAATTTTGGAAGAGTTATTATGATGGAGAGGAAGAAGGGGGATGGGCGAGAGTTTCGTCATTCCGTGGAAAAACTTAAGAAATTTTGGTTCGAATTGGCAGCGAAGATTATTAGATTATTGGGTCGCATAATGGTTTGTGCCAGAATAAATGGAGAGTGAATCGAAAAGAAAATGAAGAAATCCGTGGCGAGGGACAGAGTCTGGTGACTAAACGCGAGAATGAACCGTGTATCGTTGTCGAATGTTGGCATCTAAAATCTAAGTCTCCGAAATAGCAATTTCCCCGGCCGTGCCATAAACCTCGTCTAACGACTGGCCGTAACAGCGAGGAGGATTCAAAGGGGTCGCAAGAACGGAGAGAATGTTTGCCAAATGTTTGGATAAACAGGAAATTTGACTTGGAGGATTGGATCCGAGGGGATCGGGATAAGATATGGAAGAAGATTCTGCGAAATTGAACAGGATTAAATTTGTGGAATATTTCATATTCGTCAACTTGAATGACAAATTTAAATCCATTTCTACTTGTGCGACATGCAAAGAAGAATTTCCAATTACAAATGTACAATCAACCTCATAATAATAATCTACATCGTGAAGATATTATTAATAAAAATCGAATTATTAATAAAAATCCAGTCGCTGTTAAATACTCGGATAACGAAGTTTGCAGCGGAGGATTCGTTTTTAAATCTTCTTCTGGAGGGACCAAGTTTTCGAATCGAATCGAAATCGTGCGGAAAACTCGGGTAATTGGAGGAGGGAAGATTTTTCGAAAAAGCTCGCAGCAGCAAGGGAGCATTTCTCTCTCGAAATCATTTGTATTCGTATCCCGTGGAGACGACTTCTCCCCCCCGGTTGCCATCGAAAAATAAATCACCGTTTCACCAATCCTCCTCCGCCCGCATAACAACCGTATAATGATCCATAATAAGAAACGCATTTCGCCCTCGAAGCGTTTTTGATGGCCGGGATAAAAGTAAAAGCGCGTGATACGCTCGTTCGTCGCCATTACCGTCCCCCTTCCTCCTACCTCCCCACGGATTTTAAGAACTCATTTTTCGTGTATTCACCACGCACAAATATGAAATAGTTTATGTTTGAAATTTCGTTCCCACAGTTTTGATTATCGCACAAATATTATTTAATGAGAAGAAATCGTGTACATCGTGAACACATCTAAATAATAAGGATATTTCTTTGATTTGAAGAATAACGTACTAAGAAGATATTGAAGATAACATATAAACATCGCAATATCGGACAGTTGTTATAAAATTAACTGGAAACTTTGATCAAATATATCAAGTTTTATTTCCAAGAATCGATGAAACGAGCTTTTTTTTCACTTTTCGATCGAAGAAATTAATCGTATCCCTTGAGCAGAAAATGTCTCTGCGTATAAATGGATTAAATAATGGACGTTAATCTATTTATTAATCACGTATGGACTTGCTTCTGAAGAAATTTTCATGATAAACGATGGCCGATTCTCGCGTGTTGGTCGATTAACCGAGAGAAACTCGAGCACGTATGCGACCAGATGATAACACAGAGGGAAGAAAAAAAAAAAGCGAAAAGGGGTTGCGAGCGCCTGGAGGGCTGGGTTGGCTCGATGGAAAATGGCGATGGGGTCGTTTCGACTTTCCGCCACGATGGAAACCGCAGCTGTACGGAAGCGGAGGGAAGTGTAACGTCGTGAAAAATCTTGCTTCTTACTGGGGGCGACCCTTTTCCGCTCCTTTGTCATCCTTTTAACTTCCCTCGAGAGCTAGTAGAGTAGTTTTGTCTGTTTAATATTTAAACGTGGATTAAATTCTTTGGTCTTGTTTGGGAAAAAATGTAAAATATTGTAAATGTCGTAGATCGAGGTGTACAAAGAGAAATCTTCGTCTTCTTCGACGCAAGAAGGAGATCTCGAGTTCGCTTGCATTCGTTTGTAAATTTGTGCTGCGGGATTTTTGATGATAAGAAAAGTAATTGCGCAGTTTCTGGAGAATGCGAGTCTCTACGAAAATCTTGTTCGAGATTCTACGTGATAAAATTTTTAATTTTATCGATTGTGAAGTGAAAAAAAGAATTAATATTATATTTCAATCGAGAATCAAAAAATAACAATTGGAATTATTATAGAATATGTAACAATTCGAAAAGAAGTTTTTTCTTTTGTAAAAAGTTACTACTAGAACTACTATATTATTTTAATAATCGTGAAGAGATTGTATAAAATCGTATCTGTTGATTTTATACTTTTAATTTATCAACGAGGAAAATAATTCATCTAGAATTAAAGGCTCAAAAGGGAAGATTGTAATTAAGAGTGAAAGAGGTTTCCTCTCTTGTTTGATTTCTATTTTCTCGAGCTTTTAGTGGGTTTAAGTAAAGTTGCTTTTGTCGAAAGGATATTTTTAATTATCGTATCGTGGACTGAATGAAATCGAGATATAAAGAAACATCCCAACGTTGTGACTCCATCTGACTAATTCACATCGGTGTTCCCCTTCCTTTTTTTTTTTTTTAATTATTTCACAATCTTTCCCTCTCGAATTTCTTCTCAAATTAAACTAACCGTAGCTAAGTGTAAGAAAAAGTGTCGAAACCCCGAAACAGAGTCTCCACCAATTGGAAAAATTTCTCTGGTTTGAAGAGAATCTCGATTTCGAAGAATCTCGCAGTGAACTTAGAGTGAACGATCGACTGCTGACAGCTGAAAAATTGACTCTACGTCTATGTTAGCACGTGGAGGCGTCCACGTGTGCGCGAACAGCTGACATCCGGGGCCACGAAGACGCCACTCTTCCACTCGTGAATTCTTAACGTCCCACGATCGACGACCCGCCACCGCACGCATTACGTGCACTTTCGATCGGTGTCTATTTATAAAGCAGACAATCGCGCCTTCCCTTTGATGTTCCTCTACCGATGGCCACGCGCTTCCGGCTATCTTTAGCCGCCACCAAGCTCCCCAGAATCCTCAGCTTATTCCCTCTCCTCCGCGCTGTTCGTCTCTTGTCGTTTATGCGACGAATTAAGAAATTTTCTTCTTTTTTTTTTTTTTTATTGGCATAATTGGAAAACTTTAATCTTTCGAAACAAGGTACATCGATACACGTACATTTTATCGTATGGAATGGGTATTGTCGAGGCTGTGGAATTCGAAGTATTCGTCATGATAAATAGGATGAAACTACCTTATGGCAGTTTGCGTTGTCGTGAATTGGTCGAATTGATCGCTAAATATGAACGTTTCGTTGTCAATCATCGACGAGAATCGATGAGAAGAGGTATCCAGAAGAGGGAAGATGATCTCATTGGAGGAAGACAATCTCGTAATCTGCGTTGAAGCAGCCGCAACTCGTGCTTCCCACAAGCTACATACGGTTACATCCCTTAATCTTCTTATTCGGCGGATGCAACGTGGCTCCTCTGATCGCGTTTCCATTGGTCGGACAGAAATTTCCCAGTATTGGTAACGGTATCGCGCCAACGCACGTGTTTTCGGCTCGGATAAGAAGAAGATTGGTCGATTATTAACCATTTTATTCATCGAAAATAATCCAATGTACAGCAAGCGATTGGAATGGAAAGTGGAAAGGAATCCGCGATGGTTAGGTTTTTCAATGAATACAAACGGCAAACAGTGCCATCGCGGCCGTTCAAGCGCGTTCAACCGGGTTGACACGTATGTTGATGACGTGTCGAACAAGGTATGTGCATCTCTCTTGCCTCTGCCCGGTTGATTCAGAGAGAGAGTGACGCGCGCCACCCAATATCAATCACACGTCCATCCGTTTGTCATCCTGGCACTTCGCCGCGATCATGAACTGCGAAACTTCAGTCGGGAAAAATGCATATATTTGAGAGGATCGGATTCACCTTCGTTCGATCCATTCTTTTTTTCAAATCTGGCTTAAAGCACATCGCGAAAATATCGGCGAATCGCAAGAGAAAAAATTGAAAATTGGTAAGCAAAGTTTAAATTTCCAATTCTCGTTTAAGACTTTTGCTCGATCGAAGTGTGATACATCGAATTCGAATTTCACTGGCAAGGAACCGCAACACTCGGACCTCGATTGCTGTCGTTAAAACACTCGAAACTCGAACTTGCGCCGCCCTTCGAAACTGTCGAGAACGGCAACAAACGGCAGTCCGAAACTTAGAAATCCCATAAACCAACTTGCGCGTCCCTCTCCCTCGGCGATCTTTCCCCTCAAAGTCTAACACCATCCTTTCCCCCAAAATCCTCTTCCCCGATCCTGGCCTCGGCAAATTCTCGTCGCAACGTGTGCCACCAAATTCCCCGGAATAAATTGCACGGGGGACGAACACGCCCCTGGTATACCATCCCGTTTTCGTCAACGAACCCCCCTTCCCTCTAAGGAAACTCGTAACTCGTCCTCCTTACGTGCTCACCGCACTTTTATTCCCTTATCTCAGCAGTTCTCAACCGAAGGGACATATTCGCACGAAGCAATGGACGGTCGAGGATTACCACGTAGAAATAGTGTTTTATTTGTGTGAACAAAGTTACGAGACTGGTAGCAAGTGATTGAACAAGGATGGGATGCATCGTTTTGCTTGTCGCTGGAAAAAAAAAGGAAAGGAAAGAAAAACTATGGGCAACTATGAGATAATGAATCCCGTTCAATTGGGACGAGGTTTATCGTATTTTGCTGCTCGCAAAGCACAAAGCGAATGAACAGAATTATAGCGAGTGTTTGAAACTTTGAAACCAATGTTGTTCGAAGCGGCGATGAGCAATTTGGTAAGCCCCCAGTGCAGTGGCCTGAAGCGCCGCTACTATATATATATTTACGGCTACCATTCCTCTCTGCAAAACTACACACCTGTTATTCGCGATTATTAATCGTCGCTTTGGATAAATTTTGAAGGACCGATTTTAAAAATCTTAAAAATCTCCCAAATTCGATTGATTTCGATCTCTTGGAAGGTGAAGAAAATGAAGAGAAAGATTGAGAACCGCGGAGACTGGGGAGGGAAAATGTTGCTCGTTGCGCGGGATGCATCTCTTGGCCCGCATTATTACGTACGTATTCCGGGGAGAATAGAAAGGCGGACGGTGCATCGTTCGGTGTTGTGTACGGGAGAGGTGCAGCGTTTAATCCGAAAAAGCAATCCGCGCTAGCTCGTCGGCTTTTATGGGCAATTTTAACGAGCATCATAAATCCGGATGATACGCGGTGTCGTTCGGCCCGTGTCGTAAATTACCGGGAATATTTTCGTATCGTATTATAACCGCCGAAGAATTTCCACGCGCGCATGCGCGTACACGTACCGAGGGACCGATAGAAGTACTTTTTAACGCCGCGTTTGTTTGTTCGCTTGTTCGTTTGTTTGTTTTGACTGGAAACAAGATTGCGCGTGTTTCATGTCGCGAAGTTGGTTTGATTCCTCGAGTGGTGATAAACGATACCTTGGATTTTGATAATTTTTTGAATAATACGAGAGGTAACGTTTGATTGGTAACTTTTTGAGGTTATGTGACTCAATCAGCGAATTGAATCGAACTCGAATGCGTGCGATGTTTGAACTTTTTTCGTGTTTGAATTGTGATTTTCAAGCTGGAATTGAAAGGTTTGAATTTGTTTTGAACATAGATTAGAATTGGATATGATGTTAGATATGAATCTTTCTAAATAGTTTAATTAGATACATTAAGGATTGCACTCGACTCTTAGAATTTTATTGTTCGAATGTTATCGTATTTCAAACATATCGCACTTCGGTTCGATACCTCGAAGTGCATTCGATTTAGAAATTTCGAAATGGAAATTTTATCATACGAGCATCATTGCACTCGTACATATCCTACGCTCAAATTCCATACTTCAGAGAGCACGTACAACTGTCGACACTCGAATTTCATTATTCGAGTATTGTCGTGTCGTTTCAGATACATTGCACTTCGTTAGAGTATACTCAAATTTATCGAAATTTCAAGCGTTTGAATGCTGTTATTTCAAGCTCGAAGCAGCATTCAAGATGCTTCGAGGCCCGAAGTTGATGCGATGCGCGCGAAAAAAAAACGTAGTTTATAACTTAAAACGCTTTGAAACTTTCTTCAATTTTCTTTAGAGAAAATAGTAAAGTTTCTTTCTGCATGATCGATCGGCGGAAATTTCTTCGGGGTCGCGTGCGTTTTATCGGGTTAAACACGCGTGTGCGCTCCGTTTCTTTAAAACTTTATCGCGGTTAAACGACACGCGACCCCGCGTAAAATCTCAATTTCACATCGTATAAGACGCAATTTTTATCGAATCGCGCCTTTCCCAATATTAAGGAAAAAAAAAAAAAATTCCCTCTCCTTTGAAATTATTCGTACCAATTCGTACGTCGTCATTCGACCCAACAGTTTTTTTTTAACTCATTCGCACTTGTTCACATTTATTAATTAAAAGAAGAAACATTCGTTATTGAAACAAAACAGTAACAAATTACTGTCGAGCTGTCGAAAAATTTAAATGAAAAACTTTCAAAAATTTTCACACAACATTTTCAAGTGCACGAAAGGATCTCTCTTTCGGAACAGTTCTCGATATCACGATTACGTGATATAACTGTGACCAACGCGGAAGAGATGGTCGATAAAACGAGTCGGCTGCGAGTAACCGAAGTAACGACGTCTCGTGTCGACACGGGTCGCAGCCGGAAGTCGTGAAAAGTCGACTTCCCCGCAACTCATTGCCGGACGAAAGGGTCAACGGCGAGGTTCAGTGGCGATAGCCGGAAACCGGGCTGCCGGAAGCGCGGAGGAAATTAAAGTATGGGGGCTGAACAGACTGGGAGAAGAGTGGTTAAATTGTGAAAAGATATCCCCCTGGTGAATACCCTCGATTTGCCTGCTCGTGTCGGTGTCGCATCGAAACTTTTACATTGGAGAGAAAAAGGATTGGGGATAGATTCGTTTCGTTTGAAACGAAATGTTTGTTGAACGTGAACGTGATGGTATTTTGATGGTGGACCAAGTGAAAAGGGAACGTTGATTCGTAGTTTAGAAATTTTTTTATTTTGATATCGATCGACTCGTTATGGCGGATTTATTTTATTTAATAGGTGTTTGTTGTTGACACGTGTGAAAGTTAAATCGTGACTTAGAAATTTTCTTTTTCACGGACATTATGGAAATTGAATTTTAATTTAGAAATTTAGTAATTGGGTCGTTCCTTTTTTTTTTTTTTTTTTAGTATTTAATTTGATAGAGAAAAAAATGTGTATATCAGATACATGTTTACAGGAGAGCATATTTGCATGTTTACGTCGAATATCGCTGTGGAGATTCAAATATAGTTTAATATACGAACTAAATATATCGTATCCACCTCCTATTATCACATAAATCCTGTTTTTGAGTGGAAGACACACGATTTTTCATTTCACCGACAAAATCGATCGTGCGGAGAGTTTAGAAGTTAATCGATTTCGATGAATTGGAATTATTTAATTACGAGGATATTTGACTGTTTTCTCGTGTAGCGCGTAGTTATAATACGATAGTTTGTTTGGGATTAAATCAACGACTATGTCGAGTTAATAGATTAAGGGAAAGTTTCGAGTTTAATTTCGGCCATCTATGGAGGGGATTAAAAGTTGTAGTTGCTCGACGAATTAATCAATAAATATGATTTGGAGTTAATGATTTTATTAAAAAAGGAGAACTCGTTTAACAATAACATAATATGACAACGAACCAAGATCAAAGAGGATAAGAAAAAATATTAAAGAAAGAGGCTCGCAAGAGTCACATCTATTCGATTTTCCAAACCTTATTTATTTTACTCATAATTGATCATCTACTATTAAAATTTCGACTACGATTGCTCCACGCGTAAATATCATGGAAAGCCAATCGATTATTACCTCTTCTCAAGCATCTCTTCTCAAAAGAGTTAATTTCCAGTTAACTCGATAGCGCGACAAAATCGAGAAGATCATCATTTCAGAGATGTTTCACCGCCAAGGTTCGATGGTTAATTCGAAGGGAAACTTGGTCGAAGTTCGAAAGTCGGCCATAATTAGGCCATCGATCCGAAAACGAGATTACAATCCGACTAATTGCAAGAAGAGTCGGATCGTGGCCATTCGCGTGAATATTTCATCGCGATTCACCGAAAGCTCAGTCTGCTTCTTGTTAATTATGCGTGAGGCCAAATAGCGAAACGCTGGTTGGCAAGAAATTGTTAATTACGCCCGCCTCTTTGTACCAGTTTCCCCAGGTTCTCCCCTCCTCTCTCCCCCCCCGTTTTGTTGGACAAATCTCTTTTGTTCGAGGTTGGATTCAACCGCTGTGCGTGAATTTGTTATTACACGACCTCCGGTTTCGCCGTGTTAATAATACAGGCCGAGGACGTTGCTCTGCAAACGTGGCTGGAGTTTTAACATTTTCGACGATTGTTTTTTTTTTTTTTTCGAATAATTTTCTCGAGCAGAGAAGAGGAAACGCTCGAATGATTTGTACATCGAAATGATAAAACGAAGCGAAAGGAATTTTTCGTCTCTAGTCGAAGAATCAGAATCTCCTCGAGCGCGGAAAAATTGAAGAATCCGGAGAAAATAAAAAAGAAAGGAAATTTAATACCAATGATAGAAGATAATTAAATCACATTTGCGTCTTGCAATGGATCGTTACAAGTACTTCGGCAAAATTCAAACAATTTGCCACAGCGAGTTGTAGCGTGTTCCGCGAGCAAGTTCAAGCTCGAGGCAGGAGGGACGATTTGCGGCCGACAAAGCCGGTTAAACGGAAGTGGCATTCGGTCGAGGATACCGCCACTAAGTGCGAATTAACGTGTGCAAGGGATCGACGTGGACGGGACGAGTAGTCGAAGGGGGCCGAATCGAGAAACCTAAACCTCTAATCTTGCACGGCGGTTATTAATCGTAATCGTGCCAAATCAGATTATCGTTTCCTCCTTTAATCGTCGAACGTGAACAAAGAAATTTCTTAGACGCGGTATTGTAATAAAGCGTGATTAGTAATAATATCAATATTTACACAATTTTATGAGTGGTTTGCGAATAATCTGTTTTATTGATCGAGGCACGAGCGAGGCCACCTGTTTACACAAATTTCATCTTATTACGAAATAACGCGCGTAATATCCACGTCCGTAAATATATGGCGAATCGATAATCTTAAGTTAACACGCACGTGCAAATTTTTATAAGCATCGTGAACAAAAATTGTATCGAGATTTTAATTGGCTCGAGTTTGAAGGGAATATATATTCGTGTATATTCTAAGAATTAAAAAGAAAAATTGCTATGCATGCACGTTTCCTTCGAGTCTTGAAGTTAAATTATCTCTCTAATAATCGTAAAAAAAGAAAAGAAGAAGAAACTCTCAGAGCAGTGCCCGTATAAAAGATGTCTCTGTAGATATTTTCCCTAAAATAAACCGTTCGTTTTACGAAGCTCGTTAGCTCGAAATGAAACGCCTGAAAGCTAGGAGGACGGAGCTTGGCTCGAAGATAAGGAGATAACAAGTTAGGTTGGAACGATGGTGGACGAAGGTGAAAAATGAAAATTCAAATTTCACGAAGGAACGATGGATGGATTTCTCGAAGGGAAGGGAGTTTAATTTTCGACGATTTTTCTTCTCCAAATTTTATTTTAACGATCCTCGAATTGAAATCCCTCCCCTCCCCTTCCCTCCTCCTATCGGAAATTCCCCTCTGTTTTTATTACACTTACGATTAATTCGCCGGATATCTAAACAACAGATTTCCGGCCAGATGGAATCGGGAACGCGTCGGAGAAATTTTTATAAGCCGATTGGACGATGAATTAATATTTCGCGCGTCGCTGTTACTAATTGGTTTTCGGCCGATATTAATGGAACACGGTCGGAATTTAATAAATCCGTTCGGATACCTGTTAGGTAAGCTACGCATCTTGCGTAACGAGAAATTGAAATTTTCATTGCGAAACTGCAATTTTAACGTTGAAATTTCACCATCGGTTTTGCAAGCTTTGAAATTTTTTTCTTTTCTCCTTTTTTATAATTTTCAAATTTTATACGCATTTTTATATCATTCTTTTTATTAGATTCTTTTTATTATTATCATTTTACATTAAGGTGTAATAATACACGGTGGTGCACGTTATTAATAGCGGAATATATGTTCGACAAAAATTTGAAATCATCAACTCGAAATTGAATGAGCGATTCGAGGAGTTTATAAAAGTAAACTCGCCTCTCATCGTTATTCTAAATAGGAAAAATCAATTTTCACGATCAGATCTTCATACGTTCATTCCTACTT